GAGTTTCACAGTGTAGCTGTGCGAGCTGGTTTTTTTTTGTCTTCAGCCCCCCCGCCCAGCAAGTGGCTCTCTCGTCCCTTCTGTCCCTTCTTTCCTTGACTTCTCTCCTCTCTGCCCATCCCCTCCCCAAATTCCTGTTTATTTCTAAAGCACAGCAGTTTACCTTTTTGTTCCTTGACTTTTTATGCTTAAGACCTTACCTTCTACTCCATGTGATGTATTTAAATCTTTTCCTTGCTAAAGAAAATTCCCTCTCTAAGAGGGGTTTTGGTTCCATTTATTTGTTGATAGATTCTTTTTCATTCTGCTACTGAAGATTGTTTACAATCTAGTGGAAGAACAGATATGGCTCAATTAATGCCAGGAAGTGAATGGAGAGAAAGAGAGGAGAGGGCTAAATATAAAAACCACTACTGGTATTATGGTATTAATCAAGCCAGAACCTCTCCAGTAGTATCATCAGTGCCAGCACAATCTTCCTGGATTCTGGAGACAAAGAAACAGGCCAGATGGGTGGAGACATTTTTAAATCTAATGGTCGAATTATTAAAATTGGTACTTATATACCAATTTGTGTGTGTGTGTGTGTGTGTGTGTGTGTGTGTTTTACCTCTTCTTGCCTCTACTATAAAGTAACATTAGGAGTCCTGGGTTGATCATTACATAACAGGGCAAGTTACTTATCTTCTCTGTCTCTCAATTCCCTCATCTAAGAAATGAAGAAGTGGGACAAGGTAAATCTCAGATGTCTCTTGCTGTGGAGTAAATCTACTGTTCTGCCATTCCTGCTAGACCTTCAGTTCTTTGAAGGTGGAGCTCATATTTACACTTCCCAATTCCCCAGCCAGGAATTGTATTTCCTTCTCCCCCTATTTCCCATAGAGGTCTGTGTAGGGTGCTGACTTATTCAAAATCACTAAGTAACTGCTTCCTGTCCTGGGGATGGAATACTTGTGAGTTTAAGTAGGCAGGTGTGCGTGTGTGTGTGTGTGTGTGTGTGTGTGTGTGTGTGAGTGTGTGCGTGCTGGGGGCTCCATTCTGAGCCTTGGGGGCCCTATCCAGGTGCTCAGCACAGAGGTGTAAGTACAGCAGGCCAGGGCTGTCATGGGTGCAGGGATGAGGAGTTGGGATCCCAGACCCCCAGAGAAGGGGCCAGATGAGGAGCGGCCAGAAGCAACTCTGTGTAGCAGAGCCAAGAGGACTGGGCCATGCTGCTCAGAAGAGGACAATGCCTCTGGAAATGCATCTATTGGAAGTGCTCAGAGGAGAAAGGGGCACAGGTCTTAACTAAGCAAGGGCATTACTGTCAAGCAGTCCATCAACATCATTTGTTTGAGCAGCCACATTAAGCAGAGCTCAGAATTGGGCCCTGCAAGGAGACTCTTAAGAATGAAGAGTTATAGTCCCCGCACTGGAGAAGCTCCCAGGCTAATGAGGATATGGCCACAGTAACATTTTCTGATCTAAGAGTGGGGCATGAAGACTGACAAGTATTAATGGACTTAGAGGAAGAGACGTAATATTTATGATCAGGATATCCTTATGAAGTTTATCATCAGTAGTAAGATGAGACAGACATACCCATAGAACATATGGAAGGAGAAAACTAGGTAAGCCAGGACAGGTGGCATAAATGTTACATTATGTATGAGAATAAGTTGGCTTGACAGTTATTTTATGTCTCTGTAACCCAATTTCTTATCAGTACCACCCCCCAAAAGTGAATCCCATTTATTTCTGGGAATTCACAAAGAGGTGCTTTATCTGTGCTCACAAACTAGTCTATTGTCTTGCAGTCATTATTTGGTGCCGTCTGTGCACTCACTCCTCTGCCCCAGCTCCCCCTTCATGGCCATCCTCTATTGCATCCAGTTGCTTAAGGTGCCCCCCTCAAATTCTCATCCATGCAATATTCAGCAACTGTTTGCTGAGAACCTACTCTGCGCCCTGCCCTATATTAGGCAGTAGGTCTACAGAGACCAGTAAGCCATAGTTCTTCAATAAGAGAGCTCTCTGTTTTAAGGAAGAAAGGTACATAAGCTGATACCATAAGCTTCTGTAGGCCTATTCATTTTAAAAAGACCTGAAGCAAGGGGCACCCACATGGCTCAGTGGGTTAAACATCCAACTCTTGACTTTAGCTCGGGTCATGATCTCACAGTTCATGAGTTTGAGCCCTGCATCGGGCTGCTCGCTGAAAGTGTAAAGCCTGCTTGGGATATTCTCTCTCTCTCTCTGTCTCCCTCTCTCTCTCTCTCTCTCTCTCTCTCTCTCTGCCCACATATGTGAGCTTTCCCTCTCTCTCCAAATAAATAAACTTAAGAAAAAAAAAAAGACCTGTAGCACGATTGCAAGGGTGCTGGTTGGACACTCGGCCACAAAGCAACTGCAGTGTCTTCATGCCCTTACAGCTGCTGTCACCTGCCACAGAAGCCACTCACAGCCCCCCAGGCAGCAGGGAAAAGCTGACTATTAGTCTATCCTGGTAAACTCACTCTGACCCGACTATTTTAACATTCTCTTGAAGTGTCTCAGTCACTGCTTAGACAACTCTGGCAACTGCTCATTCAATCTGTTTAGGTTCTTCCCCCAACGCAGCTCCTCTCGAAGGAGCGTTGGGGTGAGTGTAGGTGGTATGGCTTAGGTGACCTCGTGACAAGAGGGGAGATGGTGTCTGTAGGCCTGTGTGGCATTCTCAGGACCCCCGCTGGTCCCTGCACCCCTCGAGGTTGCTCCCTGGTGTGATGAGCTACATGCTGACCCCACACCAGCAGCTGTTGTCGGTTCTTTGCCTCTTGGCACTTCTGAGCCCCCTCGGGGGAACTTGTGGGCACTTTGGGGCACTCGCATATTCCATGGGTATAAGGAGCCTGAGGTTCCCCCCTAGGGCAAGAGAAGGGAGGATGTTGAGAAGTTAGATCCCACTTAGGTCTCCTGCTATCACAATTTCCTTTCCATCGTCCTTCAGGCTAAAAAAGGCAGACTCCAGGCTTTCTATTTCCTGAACATAATATCCTGGTTTTACTCTTAGACAATAAGCCTCAAGCCCTAGCCATCACAGGCAAAAGAGGCCATTTATCTATACTGTACAGCAGAAGAACTCTGTGATCCAGGCCACAGGTTGCTCTGTGATATGTGGAAGTGCTAGTTAGGAGAAATTAAAATAGCCTTTTTTCCTTTACAAAGACTGGCTCACAAGACTTTTGTCTCACTACTGACTCTAAAATACTATTTTAGGGACACCTGGGTGGCTCGGTCGGTTGGTTAAACATCTGACGTTGTCTCAGGTCATGATCTCGTGGTTTGTGGTTTCAAGCCCTGTGTTGGGCTCTGTGCCGGCAGCTCGGAGCCTGGAGCCTGCTTCAGATTCTGTGTCTCCCTCTCTCTCTGCCCCTCCCCCACTTGTATTCTGTCTGTCTCTCTCTCTCTGCCTCTCAAAAATAAATAAACATTAAAATTTTTAAATAAATAAATAAAACACTATTTTAGATGTCAGAAACTGGATATTGACTTTCTCCTTCTCATTGTATGTCTGCCAAAACAAAACTAACTTTACCAGAGGCAGACAGGTGCCTTGAGCCATGTAGGGGAAAGTCATAGGCACAGAGATGCAAAATGAAAACAAGAATCTCATTTATGTATTTCAGAATATTTTTTGGACTTCCTCTGTAGAGTTAAAAAATCAATGCTTCCCTCTTCTACTCTGCACCCTTAGGCTCAGCTGAGCCATGCAATGAGTCTTCAGTTCTAGAAACCTGACCTATTCAGGCTTTCTCCAGGATGTAACAAGAATATTTCCAAAGGTAGCCACCACATTTACACAACTAAGACCCGGCTTATAAACCAAGAGGGAAGCTGTAACTTTGGTCTCCTCAAAATGTAAAGATCACTACAGGAGTGAAAAAGAAGAGGCAGGTTTACTTTTTAAGTTTAAAATGTTATCTCTCTAACAATTTCCAAGGTACTAAACTGTACAATTTCCACTGTACTAAACTGTCATCAGTCCTCCCAACAATTCCTATAAGGAAGCTACTGTTTCCCCAATTTTTAGATGTGAAATTGGAGGCTTAACCAGACTGTGAGCCCTTCCCAAGATCTCATTTAGTAAGCATACATTCCAGTGACAGTGCCCGTGAGAAGGTGTGGACACAGTCATGAGGGGTGAGGTGGAGCTAAGGGTGTTTTTCCTCATCACAGCCTCGAGACAAGAGGAGATATCGAGGCTGTGAAGCTGGTAACAGAACCCCAGGATGCTGGCTGTTAGAGTATTACCTTCATCTGTGCTCTGACATGTTCTAGAAAAGTGGCTGGAGGCAGGGAAATGAACAGATTGGCTTCTGGAAAGAGGTCCCCAGCATCTATGTGATTCTGTGATAGGAGAGAGAATCCCAAGCAGGACCAGGACAGGTATGAAAATAATAGAATTCAAGCCATTTTCCAATCTTCTTCCTTTGGGGTGGAACAGGGGTTTTCCATTCTTCAGCAGTTCTCTGGGATCTCTCTTTCTCCCAGCTTTTTAAAAGCTCCTCTCCCTCCCTTTTCAGAGCTTATTGGAGGTCTGTCCCTGGCACGCACCCTCCTTCGCAGGAACAAGGAGCGTGAGGTGGAGACAGGATAGGTTGGGACACAAGATCCAGTTCAGAGTGTGTCCCAGCCCAGTCCCCTCACGGAGCCCAGATCCTCATCTCCCCCTGGTAGTGGGGCCCAGCGCAAGCAGGCAAAGAACTGATGGGACCCATCAGATTAGAACCCACATTGGAGATTATATCCTAAGCAGATACCCCATTCTGAACTGGGGATGTAGCGCTTTGAAACTAGAAAATGCCAGGTCTGAAAGAGAGGAAAGAACAAGTCCAGCAATACACAGGGCTCTGTGTATTCAGAGGGAAGTTGGCAGGGTTGTGTTCGGGCAGAGAAACTCCGAGTGGTACAAAGGGACGTGCCCAGAGTGGAGAAATCATGCTAATTGTCTGCACCAGAGCTGGAGAACGCCACCCAAAATGAAGAGAGAAAGGGGAGCCCTGTCCAGAGCCTTCAGTGCCCTGAGCCTCACCCCTTTTGTCTACCTTCTTCTGATCCAGACAGGTAGGAGACCAGAAGGGTAAGAAAGGGTCTGGAGAGGGGACCCGGTACTTTCAAAAGAGAGGGAGGGGGAGTTAAAGGGCAGAATGACTTTAGGTTGGGAGGAGGGGAGAGAGCTCAGCTGCCGCCCTGTGGGAAGCATCTCAGTGAATTCAGGCATTAGTGTTGAATGTATTTCTTCATTCTGTGTGCTTCCCGCCCAGCCCCTGCGCCCCTCCCCCAAAAGGCTGCATGACTTTGGAGCTCCCACGGCATTCAGTACATTAGATAGAGGGCAGTGAGCCATTTCTTATGGGATGTCTTGTTGGCGTGGGCCAGTCAGGCATTCTTTCCAAGGGATCATGATGGGCTTGGAGGGGTGGGGGAGATCTGGGGTTTGTGCCTCCCCAACCCCCACCCTGGCTTCTCTGAGCACAAAACAGCAAGGGAGATGAAATAAGCTTTGGAGATAATGAGCCTTTTGGTTTTTGGAAATAACACCAATCCATCCATAACTCACCCCATGCCCTAGACACCTACCTTCTGTACTGCCCCCTACCAACTCCTTAGAGAATTGATCTTACTTTAAATAGATGTGTTTCTGTGTGTGTGTGTGTGTGTGTGTGTGTGTGTGTGTGTGTGCAGGCATGTGCGCATATGCATACACACATGCACTATTCCAGAGAGCCTAGAAATTCACAGTTTGGTGAAGCAAACAGATGCAGAGATCATTTTAGTAAAATGCAGAAACTACTATGAGTCAGATACACAAAGGATGTCCAGGATCAGAGAGAGGTCACCTACTCCATCCAGAAAGCTGGTGCTAGAGGTGCAGGGTGGGGTGGGGGAACATCAGGGGAGGTTTCCTGGGAGTGTCTGGACTAAATTTTAAAGGATGAGAAAAAGAGGTAGGTGTGAGAGTGTGCATTATAGTTGGAGAAGTGGGTAAAGGTCAACATTTTGGAATAGCATTCTGTGTTTAGTAGGAGCCCAGCCATTCACCACTGCTAAAGAGGAAAATGTGAATCAGGCAAGAGCCTTGGAAACCATACTAAGGTCCCTGGAATATAATCTGTAAACAGTGGAGGAGGGCAAGGGGTATTAGGCGGTTGGTAATCGGGACTGGCAGGACCAGATTTGTATTTCAGATAGCTCACTCTACAGGGAGACATTGGAGAAGAAACCAGAGGCAAACATGAGAGGAAAGGAAGCCTGTATCCATTTGCTAGGGCCGCTGTCATAGAGAACCACAAACTGGGTAGCTTAAACAACAGAAATGTATAGTATCACAGTTCTGCAGGCTGAAAGTCTGAGATAAGGTCACAGGCTCTTCGGGGCTCTAGGGAAAGATCTGTCCCAGGCCTCTCTGCTCGCTTCAGGTAGTTCCTTGGCTGGTGCCAACATAACCTGTTTCCACAGGACATTCCCCCTGTGCTTGTGTCTGTGTCCAAACTTCCACTTTTTATCAGGACATGAGTCATGTTGGATTAGGGGCCCAGCCTACCCCAGGATGACCGCAGCTTAGCAATAATCCCATTGCCAAAGAAGGTCACACTCAATATACTGAGGTTAGGACTTCAATATATGGATTCAGGAGTGGACACAATTTAACCCATGACAAGGCTATTGCAATAGTTCAAGAGAGAAATCACAAGAGCTGGAATTAGAATAAAAAGAGGGAGAAGCAGGCACATGGAGATAATATTTTGGAGGGAAAGTCAGGAACTAGTGATTGACAGGAAGTAGGAGGATCCAGAAAGGGAGGTAGGATTTCTGTGTGAAACTTGAACCGATCACTGGGATGGGGTCTGAGGTGTGATAATGAGTCCTGACCAGGTTGAGGTTGAAATGCCTAAGAGACATTTGTGGGGAAATGTTGAAAATCCTGAAGTAGGGGTGGGGACAGGGGAGAGAGGTGAAGAGAGACAGGTGAAGCTCTCAGCCTACAGGTGAGATCCAAAACAGTGAGAATGGGTAATATCGCCTAGGGGGAGAAAATGGGCTAAACGTGGAACACTGAGTAACCCCAGATTTGTAGGAGGTAGAAGGGGAAAAGGCCGGCTGAGGAGACCAAGAAGGAACACGCAAGAGGGACAGAGGGGAAACTAAAAGACTGTGGTGTCCAGAAAGGGAGTTGGAGTTTTTCTGATAGCATCAAAAGTGTCAAAGAGGTCCAGTATATCAAGGGCCAATTATATCTGCAACTATTATTATCATTATCATCATCATCATCATCATCATCATCATCATTATTATTATATTACAATTCAAAGAGTTTGTTGGATACAGAAATTCAGAGGCTAACTCTTAGCCTTAGTGAGAGCGGTCTAGTGGAAATTACAAGGTCAAAGGTAGGCAGTCAGTGGATTGGGAACACGAAGTGCTCAATGTAATATACCAATCGGAGTTCTCCCTAAATGCTTTCAGCAATGGTAAGGAAACCGTTCATCGAATGGTAAGGAAAAAAATTATAGAAAGATCTTGTCAGTCAGCATGACCAAGCAAAAACAAAAAGTGACAAAGTCTCTTCTGTGTGGGAACATGTTACTCGGTATATGCGGCAAAAAACATTCTAAATATAAATTATGCTAATAGGATGCGATTTATGACCTATGGTGGGTAAAGAGGTAAAGAAGTACAGGGTCAGGCCACTGTACTGCTGTGGACTCAAGAACAATAAAGAGCTGGGATTCCATAAGGAATTTCTGCCATCCTCACTATATTAGTTAGGAAGATACTAGCGTCTGTAATGAATCCCAAAATTTACGTTCCTGGCACTAGCCATGTAATAGTACAGTGTGGTTCTAGACTAGGCCTGGGATGAGGAAGTGCTCTGATTCCTGAAGCTTTTTCAGGGACCAAGCTGATAAAGCTCTCTGTCAACTTCCAGTAGTCACCCCGAGGTTTTTCTCCATTTCTTTCAGGCAGAGAATTTTTTTTTTTAAGGAAAAACATTTTTCTAAACTAGCCTAGAACTGGTACCTATCACTTCCACTGGTTCTACTGGCTGGAACTTGGTCACATGGCCATACCTACCTGCAAAGAAGACTGGGAAATGTAGTTTTTTAAGATTGATGCTTAAAGGGGGCAAGTAATAGTCTTTAATGCTTTGTCCCTAACATGGACAAATGAGGCTTTCCTAAACTGATCACAGCCCAAATCATGAAACGTACAAACAAGGTTTTTCTAGAGGCTGACATATAGACATAAATATGGCATGCCATAAATCTACATAATCTGATTTGCAAAATTTTCCTCTCCCAGATCCTAGAACTATTCCATCCTCCAGGGACCCAATGGGAAGAAGTCCCTTACCTGGGTTCCACCCTTTTAGCCTTAAGATCACCTTCACATTGTAGGTGCTGTCTTTTTCTTCTAACAGAGATATGCACAGAAATGCATTGAGTGTAAGGATATGTTGATAAACCTTTAAAAAGTGAATGAACCCATGTAATCAACCTCCAAGATCAAGAAATAGAATATTTCAGCATCTCAGAAGCACCTCCCCCAATACTTCAGTTACTATTGCCCTCCCCCAGGGATACAGTGATATCCTAACTTCTTATACTGATTAATTTTTCATGTCTTTGAACTTCATATAAACTGAATCATATGCCTGCATTCTTTTGTATCTGGCTTCTTTGGCTGAACTCCAAATTTGTTGTTGTTGTTGTTGTTGTTGTTGTTGTTGTTTTTGAAGGGGGGTGGGGGGACCAGAGGGTCCAAAGTGGGCTCGAACTTATGAACTGTGACATCAAGACCTGAGGCAAAGACTGATGCTTAACCAACTAAGCCACCCAGGCACCCCACAATTTGTAAGATTCATTCATGTTGTTGTTGAAATTGTAATTTGTTTGGTCTCAGTGCTGTATGGTACTCCATTGTATGCATACACCACAATTTATTTATCTATTCGGGGCGCCTGGGTAGCTCAGTGGGTTAAGCATCCAACTCTTGATTTCAGCTCAGGTCATGATCTCATGGTTCATGAGATGGAGCCCCTCTGTGCTGACAGTGAGGAGCCTGCTTGGGATTCTCTCTCTCCCTCTCTCTCTCTGCCCCTCCCCTGCTTGCACACAAGCATGAGCATGCTCTCTCTAAATAAATAAGTAAACATTAAAAAATTATCTATTGGGGCGCCTGGGTGGCGCAGTCGGTTAAGCGTCCGACTTCAGCCAGGTCACGATCTCGCAGTCCGTGAGTTCGAGCCCCGTGTCAGGCTCTGGGCTGATGGCTCGGAGCCTGGAGCCTGTTTCCGATTCTGTGTCTCCCTCTCTCTCTGCCCCTCCCCCGTTCATGCTCTGTCTCTCTCTGTCCCAAAAATAAATAAAAAACGTTGAAAAAAAAATTATCTATTAAACTTTTATAGACACTTTGGTTGTTTCTAGTTTGGGGCTTTGTCAATATAGTTGCTAAGATATTCTAGTGCCTGTCTTTTGGTGAACAGATGTACACATTTCTTTGGGGATACACCAAGGAGTTGAATTGCTGAGTTATATGTGGTTAGCTTTGGTAAATATGGTCAAACAATTTTCAGAAGCAATTATGTCCATCTACATTCCCACCAGCAGTGTAGCAGAGCTCCAGATACCCGACATCTTCACCAACAACTGTGTTTTCTCTTTTTCATGTTAGTCATCCTAATGAGTAGGCAGTGGTACCAAATTATAGTTTCAAATTGCATTCCCATGATTATTAATAAAGTTGTATCTTTTTCATACCATTATTTGCCATTTAGAGATCCTTTTTTGTGAAGTACCTGTTCTAAGTCTTTTGCCCATTTTCTACTAAGTTTTCTGGGTTTTTAAAAAATTGTCGATTTGTAGGAGTTTAAGAAATATATTTTGGATATGAGTCCCCTAAAGGGTATATGCATTGCAAATATCTCTCGCTCTGCAGCTTGCCTCTTCACTCTCTTAATGGCGTCTTTTGATGAACAGAAGCTCTTGATTTCACTGTGTCCAATGTATCATTTTTTTCTTTTATGGGTACCACTTTTGTGTCCTGTTTAAGAAATCTGTGTC